TTAAAGAATGCCTTCTCTTACTAAATTTTTGTAGGATTTTTAAAACTTCTTAAAATGCTATATTTATGATAGTATTTTATCTCTTTTTAATTAGGAATACAATGAAAGAGATAAACAGTAACCAAATGTGAGTGTGCTCCCCTCTCCTACACTGCCTTTTCAGAGGTATACACAAAGCACTTGCTGTCACGGACCGCCGTGGACAGAAAAAAAAACAAACCTGTGTTTAAACTTGGAATAGTGTCATTTCTCGGGAAAATGAGGTGGAATAAAAATAAGAGGGGTGAATTTAAAGACCCCTGGCATAACAAAAGAGTAATAAGTATTAGGCCACAGTTTTTTAAGTGTTTCCATTCAGACAGTAGTCTTAAACACATTTTACTACAGCAGTCTAAAAGTATTTGATAGAGCAGTCTAAAATTTTATTCCAACACTGCATGATAAACCACTTGTCATAAAAAATAGAAAAAACGAAAGTTTTCACATATGACAGTTTGGCAATTTTAGTAAATAATCAAATCTACTTCAAAGATCCTTTTCAAAGCAATGGATTACTCCCTTTTCAATTATCAGTCTTAGACAGTAAATGATTATAGGGCAAGAAAAGTAGGCTAATCAAAATACATGAATTTTGTCACTGTTTAACAACATTAACAAATAATTATTCAGATAATAGGTTGACATTAATGATGAGTAGATTCTGTAAGTTATTAATAAAATGTGGTTCTAGAAAAAATGTATATTGTACATTAAGAAAAAAGAGCTAAATTTAATTTTATATTATCATTAAGGCAGTTCAAAGTTGGAGGAAATGGGAAGAGTTTTCTAAGCAAATGAAAACTGCATGGAAAGGCAAATAATTGGGAAAAAGAATGATGTATTCTGGATACTATATGCAGCTCAGTATTCAATATACAAGCTGAAGAAGTGATAGGAGGCTCGACTGAAAGCGTAAGCTAAGACCAAATCCTATGTGCTAAGGCACTTAGACTTGACTGCAGGTGACAGGAAATCAGTGAAAGCCTAAAGTAGGGGTGAGACATTAACTTACCTCTTTACTCACAGCTCGGTATTTGTCAAAGTTTGGGGGCACTATTATAAGTTGTGGGCAGAGTCTCTTAGCAATAAATCCTGGCATGGCTGCACGAACACCAAACCTCCTTGCATGGTAATTTGAAGTAGACTGAAAGATATTGGACCACATGGAAAAAAATATACAAACCTAAATGGACATATTGATCCATGCATTCATAGGAAATACATTAATATGTGCCTTTTCAATTCAAGGACATTTCATTTATAGGCCTCTGTTTTAATCCAAGTTTTGACTTATTCTGTCACAGTATTTTGATACCATGACCCTCTCCCATTACTATCCCTATATTTATAATGTGATACCAGATGTAAACAAGACTGTGCTAATAAAAAGATTTTTTAAAATTTCTACTAACTAAACGTCATTGGTTTTAAGGCATACTTGTTATGGAATGAATATCGAAGTTTGAATGATGGTGAGTTATGTTACATGAAAGTAATAATATAGTAAGTTGTACGGAATAGTCATAAAATAGTATACAAATAGTAAAGACGTTACATTATAGAAAGTAATAGTATAGTATAATAGTAAACTTTTGGAATTTGCTCTATTTGGGATTTTGGAAACTTCATCTAGAACAAAAATAAAAGGTCTACTATGTGGTCAGCCAAATTAAGTCTCCAAAATGAAGTGATTAAAGCTTAAAATAAGTTTAGAAATTAAGGTTTTTTTCTTAAGGCTTAATTATCTTTTTTGCTGAAAACATTTTGACTAGGAGATGGAACTACAAAAGTATGAGAGTAAAAAGGAGAATATTGGTTCTTGCCTCCACTTCTCGCCATGTCTTCTCACAAGACTTTCAGGATTAAGCGATTCCTGGCCAAGAAACAAAAGCAAAATCGTCCCATTCCCCAGTGGATTCGGATGAAAACTGGAAATAAAATAAGGTACAACTCCAAAAGGAGACACTGGAGAAGAACCAAGCTGGGTCTATAAGGAATTGCACATGAGATGGCACATATATTTGTGCTGTCTGAAGGTCACGATCATATTACCATATCAAACTGAAAATGTCACCACTCTCTGGAGAGTTCGACATATTTTCCTCTCTGAATCTATTATGAATGCGTTGGTTGGCTGGGTTCAGTAATAAATACGTGAGGCCTTTCATTTAAAAAAAAAAAAAAAGGAGAATATTGCTTATTAAATCCTGTTGATGATGATATCTGATGAAAGTCTATGTGAACGTGGTAGACCGTAGGACTATTTATAAAACAAATTCTATCACAAATTAAATCCTTATTTGGAATCTCAAGTGAAATTTCAAAGAAATGCAAAACAGAATCAAATGAAGGAATTATTTCACGATAATATGAATTTACCTCTAATGATTTTCAAATGGCACTTAAAACATCTTGATAGTACTCAGAACTATACTAATCCTTAGTCAGTGTTCTGAAACAGAAAATGTGGATAGCACTAGAAACAAAACCAATGCTTTAGTAAATAAGTTTAATAGAATTGACATAAAAGCTACATCTATAGTAGAGGAGATACAAACTTTTAAATAAGAATTTCTCTAACTTTTAAATTTGTGGTATATTGTAGATCACAGCCACAACACTTTACAGTTACTCTTATCAAAAGTGGGTTCTAGTTCCTCATGCCATGTGACTTGCCTTGTGACTTGGTTAGATGAAAATAATGTGAGGGAAGTGACACTGCGTTCCGAAACCTAAGTTTTTGCTTTTAGTAATCCAGCAACCATTGTAAATATTTCGGGGTAGATTACTCAATGTTGAAGCATCAATGGAGAGAAGAAAGTTCTGAAGCTGGAATCCATTCCGATCTCCTCAGTCCAAGTGCCAGACATGTGAATGAAGCCATCTTGGATTTTTTAACCTCAGTTAAATTGCCCTAGCCAAATCCAGGTAGAGCAGGGTTGAGCCATCGCCACTGCACTCTGCTCAAATTACAGAATCATGAGCTAATAAATTTTGGCTATCCACTAAATACTGCGGGAAGCTGTTATGCAGCAATAGACAACTGCTATACGATCTCAGTTGCAACTCTCAGTGTCAAGTTAGAACATTTCAAAAATCCATCAAATTCACCAAAAAAGAATTCTATCAGAAGGAATAATGAAACGACTCCCATTAATTTGTAGATATACTTTTATATGTTTAATAGGACAAAAAGTTATGCTTATTAGAAGGGAAACCGCCGGGCGCAGTGGCTCAAGCCTGTAATCCCAGCACTTTGGGAGGCCGAGACGGGCGGATCACGAGGTCAGGAGATTGAGACCATCCTGGCTAAC